ATCATAGTGGCAGCCTCAATGGCTGAGGCTGGGTCGAGCACACTTGTTGTTCCATGTGAGGACCCTCTGTACTACTGCCACTCTGATATGACTTGGGGGGACATACCCAGTCGGGAAGACAAGTCCGATGCTAAGCCGGTAGGTGTACATTATTGGATCCACCGGGGATCGAACTCGGGACCTCTTGTAGGAACGTGTTGTTGTTTTTGGTCGTCATGGTGCAAGAGTCCTGACCAGAGACCTCACTTGCTGGGAAGGAGACGATACTGAGTGAGTCGCCTTATCAGCTGTGAGTCTGTTTACATATGTCCAGGTACATGTGCCCAGTCGCCACCTACTATGGCTTCATTAACAGCCCCTCTGAGGGAACAGGTGTTGGTTGGACTAGACTGGCCGGCAAGAGGATGATGTTGAAGGGCAACTGTACCTACGGTAGGCCCTGTCTTGAGCAGCAACAGCCCATGGGGAATCTTACGTACGGCTAGGCCAAGTTGTGGAGCCGGGCATTCAGCAGCATATGCTGAATGGGGAGGCTCTGAGGAAGGCCTACGCCGAGCCGTTGGAGCTGGGAGAAGTAGGTCGGTCGCTGCTCGCTTCCATCAATCTTTTCTTCTTAGGCACCGCTGGAGCCCCAAGTGATGTTCCGTTCGACTGAGTTCACTCGTACCATTCACAGTGCCCAGGCTCTCGCTATGGGGTTGTTCCCGAATATTCAGCAATGTAAGCCTTTGTGGTGTCCCTCCCGCCATCACTCGTGGCAGACGGCCCTGACAGTCTGGACATTGTCATTGACGATCTCGATGTGGACTCCATGACCCCCAAACCACGCGTGAGCTACTCATGACCAGCTGAGTCGTCTTTATCTGTGCTTCCCATAGGTGTGCCCTCGCATTGCTGATTCCTTGGATGCCTTCTTCGAGTCACCAGAGGCTCTCAAGCGGACATATGCATCGACGCTTGAACGGAAGCTCATCGGCCTCACCAGTGGACGTTACGATGAGTTTAACACCAACGACCCCAAGAAGATGGATGGCCTTTACTCCGGGATGCTGGTAGGCCTCCGCCGTGACACTCCAGTTTGCATTCATATCTCCGTCAGGATTGCCTGATGAGCCACCTTTGCTCGACAGTTCCGAGCACCTCTCGAGACGTCCCCTACGGCCTTGGCCCTGGGAGTCCTCTCCTAAGGAGAATCTCTGACCAGGCCACCTATTGGGACTTGCTCCAGTATAACTCCTCCGCGGAATCTCGCCGCCTCGCTTTTGGCCCTTTTATTAGAGTAATTCTAATGGACTCCTCTGCTTGCATGACTCGTCTTAGGATGTTTTGGAAGACCTAGACCTCCCAGATAGGCGTTTGTCAGTTTATATCGGTCACGACACTGGGCCGACCAGTGTCTTCACTGCCGCTTTGGATTTGACTTGTGAGCCTCCGTATACAGCGTTTATTGTGCTGAACAGTGTGCACTCAGGGATGGACTCTCATCACAAATGTGCCAACTACTGGCCAACCTTCGCGTCCATGCTCATTCTGGAGATCTACGATGACAATCAGGCCCGCTGGCTTTTCAATGGTAGAGTTGCGTCGGTGGATGCCA